AAAATTCACTGCTGCACTTTCGTTCCAACGATATTCTGTCTCTATTACATCTCTTCGAAAGTACAAACTTCGATTTAAGCAGTACAGATGTTGAAAATGCTACCAATCAATTCACAAACATTATGACGGAGGCAGCAAAACGTTCAGTCAAATTAAGTAGCCAAAAGAAATCTAAAAGAAAGCCAATTACTAAGAAGTGGTTTGATTATGATTGCAAAACTTTAAGATCTTCACTTAAAAAGTTATCTAACCAAAAAAAAACCGCAATCCTCTGGATACCGAACTCAGAAAAGAATATCATGTTCAAAATAGAACCTTTAAAAAACTTATCAAACAAAAAAAAACAACAACAATTTGTTGACTCTAAAATAAATGAGTTGATTAGTAATGAAAATGACCGCAAATTTTGGGATACTCTAAAGTCAATGAACGAAAACAGCTTGTCTTATAATAATATAACGAAAACCCGACCAATAAACTTTACGATCATTTTAAAACGATACACTCAGCACCTGATCCCAATACATTATCAGCATTTCAAATACACATGTTAAACGATAAAAAGCGTTTGGAGGACAGCAACCATTTACAATCTGGATTCAGCTTGAAAATCAACCCCCTGACATAAAAACCCTTCTACTTTCCTATCCAAAGCTGAGAATAATTATTTGTCAAAACATCTGAAAAACCACCAGCTAAATTTGATAAGAACAAATAAAAAACTAAAATTCTACTCCGTCTATAAAAATGAAACAAATCACTCTGAATTCATCAATCATATCCGGAATCCTGAACATAGGCGTGTAGCTTCCAAATTTAGGATAGGAAATCACAATTTAAAAATAGAAACCGGAAGACTTACAATCCCCAAAACTCCTGAAGACCTTAGAATCTGTGATCATTGCCACCAAAATTCGGTTGAAAATGAACTGCACATATATTATTTCACTGTGATCAATACCATGAAATGATGAAAGACTCTTTTTCTTAAAATCAACGACCGAAATACACTATTTACACATTACAATATCCATGATAAAGTCTGTTTTCTTTTTAAAAATACTGATTCACATATCAGCAGGCTAGCTGCTAATTTGGTCTTTCAAGCATTTGAAAGATGAAAGAAACATAGTTAATTCTACCGTTCCATCATATCTGCATTCCCTTAAACTTAGCTGTTTATTACTGTTATTTTAATCGGTAACACCTGTACAAAATGGTAATACTGGCTAAACTTGTTGTTGTTGTTGTTGTTGTTGTTGTATTCAAATGATAACAACTCCTCAACAGATATGAAAAATGTCCAATTAACTATACGTGAAGAACTGACTTCACACCAATATAATCTAATACGAAGTAACAAGAAACTAAAATTTTACTCAGTATTCAAAATTGACTGTCACAAAAGTGCATGACTGCTTGAGCATAATCAACATAAGTCCCCCCAGTACCGAAACCTCTAGAAAATTTTCGCATTTGCCCCTTCCATAGTCTTCGATCTAACTTTTACCGAGACATTAGGATTGGACATCCCCTTTTTAAGAATTTTGACAACAATGAAAAAACCCTCTTCGTATTTGACAATGTCGATCCTGATATCTGCAGACTTTCATCTCCTTACATGCAGTCATGTATGGAATATAGACAAAAACTTGTTCTTTCATATCATAGCCTTTGTTTTGATTTCAGATTTGTAACGAATAATGTAGGTAATACCATGCACTCACGTGGGAATACTGAAATAAAGCTGCTGTTGTTGTCGTTGTTTCTGATGAGTTGAATTCACTTGTCAATGTCCGAAGAAGGAGAAGAAATTATCCACCACACCTTGGATTACTGACGAGATCTTAGCTAAAATCAACTACGCACCCACCAAGACAAACTCAAGACCCAAAGGTGCTTATTTTGACCCAGAATTTCTTTCCCCCCCCCACCACCCCGCCGCCAAATCAAGGAAAACGAGACACGAATCGTGCAGCTAAAATGGCGGCGGCTATCATCAACACGCGGGCCAATTCGATCAGCCACCCGCTAACTCAGTTATCATGGTAACTTACCCCGCCGTAGAGGACATGTTTCTCCTAAGCTTTTCCTTTGTCAAATTCGTATGGAGGCGACTGATGATATTTCCAATTCAAGCGAAGTTGGATTCCGCAGTTTTGTCTCTTACTGCGTCGACTCTGGTGGAGCCCAGGCCCTCTCTATTGAAGGGCGCGCAAAATAATTGTCCGTCTTTTTCTAAATAGCGTAAAACGGCGTAATCCGAGATTTGTTCGGATCGTGTTTTCTTAAGAAATTTGTTCACTTTTTTCAGTGTTCTTGTTCTGTATAAAAGTACTCTTTAGAGCGTAGAAATCAGTGCATACTTTTTGTTTGTTATACTCCTCCCATATTAGTTGTTGGGGCAAGGGCCTCGGAAGCAGGTGGAGGTGGGGGGGGGGGGTTTGAGGGGAAAGGGCGTGATTCGCTGGCCAACCTCTACCACACTTGAACGAAGCTTAGCCACTCTAAGGCCTTTTTGGTAATTCAGAAGTTAAGTCAATTTTGGAGACCACAGAAAAGACATCCATTTGTTACAGAGCCTCTTCTGTTGTAGGGTACCTTTTTCCAAAATCAGACAGAAATATAAATTGAATTTTGTTGACGTCATGTGAAAACCAAGAAAAAGTGTAGCCCGAAAACCTAAAAAATGCACCAGTAGATGCGACGTTTACACTGAATGTCGTCATTGAAGCTTTGTCGCGACGTCGTTGCTAGGCAACTCCGGATACCAAACGGATAGAAAGATTTATGACCAACGCAAAAGCGCACTCTGCTTGCGATCCTCGCGCGAAAAAATTTTAAACTCGCTTCGCTCGCAGCCTACGAGAATTATAAATTTTTTTTGCATTATTTATTACAGAAAATATATATTTTTAAAAACTTGTTACTTTTTGAACTTACTTAAGAACTACGTCCGAGCCGGTTAAAAGATTATTGCCCCCGCAAGGTTTTGGCCTCAAAACCCGAGGATGCACCCTAGGATTCCCCGCGTGTATACATGTAAGGAATTTCAAAATGTAAGAAAGTAAGTACTGTAAGTAAATTTGTAGTATGCGAAAAAAATCTCGATTTGATGAAACTAGGCGCGCACGGTGGTCTCGGGTAATATTTCAGCAAGCGCGCAATGTGCTGTCGGGTAGCTGTCGGGTAGTTCGCATTTCTCCATCATTTAGCAGCATTTCAACCACGAGTTCACGTTTTGCCATCTTCTAGCTATGGAGCGGTATCAACGCCAAAAATAAAAGTACAACTAGATGATATGATGGTCGATATTCTTAATACGTTACTCTGTTTACAAGATACGATGGTTTGGCCGCACAATTAAATATTACAGCTTGGAAACACGATACTCCGTCTACTGGACGCAATATTGCGGCATAACAACACGATACTCCGTCTACTCGACACGATATTGCGGCACAACAACACGATACTCCGTCTACTGGACGTAATATTGTGGCACAACAACACGATACTCCGTCTTTCAAACATAAGCTCACTTAACGTTTGCATGACAAGACGATAGTCCGCCTTCAAAACATAATGTTTCGGACATATTTCTCAACAAAACGCCAGAACCTCTTCACCTTCGTCACTGTTCGACGAACTGTGCGAGCCAATGACGCGGCGAGGCGACAAAAATAACACGATGATTTGCCTAGGAACCTGGTAACTAACGGTCAGTCTCATCAGACTGGGCCTATTCCTACATTCAACATGGCGGAAAATCCGCAAAGAATACGAGAATTGCTTTTGGATCGCTATTCCAGGACTATCCAAGAAATATGTAGAATACTGAGGCAATCGAGTGCCATGGATTGCGATGTGAGAGACAGTGTAATATTTAGGCTGGATTCTTTACGTCATCTCGTTGTTCGATGCGTAGACGTAGCTAATGTTCCGCGAGAAGTAATCCTGAACTTGCAGAGAGTTGTGTCAATTTTGTCGAACGACTTCCAAGACAGCCATCTACATGTGGACCAGGATAGATACCAGGCAGGCCGGATTTTCACACAGGACAGAGGAAGACCTTCTTACAACATACCCAGGGAACAACTGGAATTATTCATTGAACATGGTTTCAATACTTCAGATATGGCCACTATGTTAGGTGTAAGTGTTAGAACAGTCCAAAGGCGACTATCAGAATACAGCCTTTCAATCACTGACAGATATGCTGATATTTCGAATGAAGCTCTAGATAACCATGTCATGGAAGTCTTCCAAATGTTCCCAAATTGTGGTTACCGTAGAATGCTTGCGTTCCTCGAAACAAAAGGGCTACGTGTACAAGAGAAGAGAGTTCGAGAATCTATGCACAGAGTTGATCCCGAAGGAGTACTTTGAGGACACTAGAGCTCCAAACAACACACAGACGGGGATATAATGTATATTCACCCAGAGCTTTGTTCCATATAGACGGTAACCACAAGCTAATCCGTTGGCGCTTTGTTATTCATGGCATGATAGATGGATATTCAAGAATGATTATTTTTCTAAGATGTTCAAGTAACAACAAAGCCTCAACAGTTTTCTCATATTTTCTGGAGGGTGTAGAGAGGTTTGGTTTACCATCACGTGTAAGAGGTAGGCCTTTGTGTAATCACTGTTAGAACGTCTTCAGTTTATTGGCTATGAATGATCAAATTAAAACATTATTCAGGGCTGTCACTGATTTCTGATGTAGGCGGGGATGTACAAAAGGTAGCTGGGAATCCAGCTGTTTTGCATGATCAGTATGCTGTTTTTGTTTTAAAGTAGCTGGGGATCTAGTTCAGAATTATCAAAATTGGCTGGAGAAAATCCCCAATCCCTGGCCCTTAATGACAGCCCTGCATTATTTCATTCTTGATAGCCTGTACTTGATTAGAAGCATGTTACAAATAATTATGAATACATACAGCTGTACTCACGCCATCACTGTTAATATAATCTAGCCTATCTGAACCTAAGTTAATATATTTACAGGTGATTGCGGTGGGGAGAATGCAGATGTGGCATGGTTCATGCTTACCCACCCAGACAGAGGCCCAGACAGGGGCAGTTTTATTGGTGGCAGAAGTGTACACAACCAAAGAATAGGTAAACTCTCAACATGACAGACACTATTTGTACTACTGAGAGGCAATAGCCCACCAGGCCAGGGTGGAGACCTGGTTTTGATACATACCGCACTGCTTTTCTCACATGTAAATCATGTTGTTCTTATGCTAACTAGTCCACATTTGCATGAGAAAGACAGAAAGGTTTGCATCTAAACAAGGTCACCACCAGTGGTCAATTCTATAAAACTTTTACAAGTGTAATTTACAAGTGTAGCTATTGTTTTCCCGACTCTAAAACAATGGCTGCACTTGTAAATTACACTTGTAAAAGTTTTATTAAATTGACCCCAGGCTCTCTTCCACTCAAAGGCCAGGGCACCAAACACACAACTGTAAAATGGGCCATTCTACACATTATTTTGTGCAAATTTCTTTCTTTCTGTATGTGTCATTTTAGGCATTCAATGTGTATCTGTTTTAAACCCTAAAATTACTACTGACATTAATAATTATTTTACAGGGAAGATGTATTATGCTAAATGTACCAGGAACAACAGAAAACTAGAATGTCTTTTAAATGTTTGCTTGTCATTGTGAGCTGTTATAAACAATAATATTAAAAGTGGTTTGCCTGATTCCTTACATTTAGAGAGGTTGTGGCGTGATGTGTTCACTGGTTGTACATATTTGTATTACAACCTCTTCTATTACATGGAAACTGTTGGATTGTTAGAGCCACACAATGACATACACCTCTGGTGCCTTCACTTTGTGTATCAACCTCGCATAGATCGTCATCTGCAATTGTTTGCAGAAGGCTGGAGTAGAAAACGGATCAGAACAGCTGGAAATAAAACCCCTACTCAGTTATGGTTCCAAGGGCTGTATGCTATTGCCCAGTCAGATTATGTCATTGCTCAAGAAATGAACAAAGATGAATGGCAGGTCAGTTTTTCTCTGTTGAAAGATGTCTTCTCTCTGGGGCACCCAACAAGCCAAATCAACCAAAAGCTTGAGAAAGAGGCACTTTTAAATTTAATAACTTATGTTGCTTGAAGTCTGTCTAGAGTGATGTTTTCGTTAGCTGGAAGAATTGGATCTATTTGGATTCCTTAGCTGAACTTTTAATTGCCTGAAAATGTTAGGGAACAAAGTCTTCATTTGAGAAAATGCTGAAATGATCTTTCCACAAACGTTTTATGCAGCTATTTTTTTCCCGAAAAGGCTAGCTGATGATTTTTACTGCCAAAAACAACAATTACGACCTTTCCAAAAACCTCAGAGGTTATGATTTCCCCATTGCCGATCTTTTAGGCCATGTTTCAGTTACGAAAATTTGAGTGCACTCTTTAACGGATTCCAAAAGCCAAAGGCGAACTAACCTCCACCAAACAGATTTCTGATACTTGCCGTTGGGTGCCCCTGTTCTTTCAGGCAGTAAATAATTATTATTAACTGCAAGTCATATTTTTGTAACATTTAGACATATCCCAATATCCTTGTCTGATTTTATGATCTGTATAAAAGTAATGTGATTTAGTTCGTTTCTTTTCTCAAGTTGCTTTAGCAACAACTTCTTTTGATGATAATGATGATGCTGATGGTGATGAAGCCCAATGTTATGCCAGATCTCTTTGGTGGCAGGTTATCCAAAACAGTGGTAGAGTGTTATTACTGATTGCCACAATCGACATAATGTATTTTCATATGCATTGCAGCTGTATGGAGTGGACTGGGATGGACCATTATCTCCAGAGGAAAATTGCATTGAAGTTCCTTATACTAGATGTCCTATCAGTCACAATGATAGCGTACTTTTAAAAGACGAAATCAATCCCTTAGATGACAGCACCATCCATGGAATTGATCTCTATGAAAGGACACTTCAATTTGTGACAAGCAGAATTTCAAGTTGAAACTATTAAGATTGATATGTGTAGTTACTGTAAAGTATAGAACTCTCAGTTAACTAGACCCCATACAGTACCAAGGACAATAATATTGTTGAAGATGAAATAGCTTTAAGGACCAAAAAAAACCAAGAGCCAGTATGCACCCCCATATTTTAACACAACATTTATTAAGAGAAAGGTAACTTAACCTGTAGCAACGCTGCTACTATATCTAAGTTGCAAACATTGTAATGCTACAAAATTTTCAAAATTACTTTAACTTGGAAACACTGCTAAACAATTAGACAATTTCAATGCATAAAATGTCAAAACTGGCAACATTTTTTTCTGACAAGTACAATTGTTAGTATACTTTTTCCAAGTGAACATGGTCAGTGATATTTTCTAGACTAAAAATTAATAATGGCTGCTAATTTCAACTTGAAAACACTAAGAGACTTACAGTACATACTGTACCAACATGTATAAAATGACCAAGCATGATTGAAAGGTTTGGATAAAACTTTACGAATGCAAGTGCTTTTTTAAACTATCCTGATAAAGTGATGTAAATTATTTGTATTTGAACTTTGGCAGACTGCTTAATAAATTTATTTTCTACAAGATAATGAATAGTTGGTTACATGTACATGTAGTTCTTCAGCTGATGTGAGTGCTGTTAGTGTGGAGCAGGGATAGGATCAACCTTTGCAACAAATAGCCCACAAACTCACCCACAAGAATTACAAAAAATTGAGTCAAAATGATATTGTCTGACACATACATGTATCTTCTACATGAACATGTACACAAGTAAAATATTACAACTACATGTATATGCAGAACTGTTTATGTTATGGCACTGCATCCTGCTCCAAATAAATTTCATACTCCAAGTTATTATTACCAGTGAATTTAGTACTAAGCATGAACATTTCTGTCACATTCTTCCAAAGCCAACCTTTCCATGAGCAATACTACAGTCCATGAACCTTTTGAAATCCTCATACTGTTGATGAGTGGTAGGAATCCGTAAGGTGAGTGTACAGGTGTCTGCTTCAGCCAAGACCTTGGAAGGTTGCTGAGGACAGTACTTCACCCACAGTTTACATAAGGTGTCACGAGGCAACTGTGGATAACCAGTCCAGAACTGTAACAGGTCCTTGAGGGTTTCTTGTTCTGAATCTTCTTCTGAGGAAATAAAACCATACAAAGAATAACACAAGTCATACATTGAGCTGTGGGTACACAGTCTTATTCTACTCTCTAAAACATGTTAAATTAATTATAAATTCTTAAAGAAACATTCTCATTCTTTGAGCCTTGTATTACTGGAAGATCTACTATTTCTTATTATATTTTAATGGTTTTCAGTAATTGCATGTTGCTACCACTGTAGGTTTCTGACACACCTTTGTGAAGCTCGTCTTAGGATAAAAAAAAATGCCCATATGCGATAGGTCAAAGTTTTGGTCGAAGAAAAAGTTACTTGTAATACTGGTATTGCTGCTAGCTGACAAAGTATCAATTACCAGAATCAATGTTATCATTAATTTTATTGAAGTAAGATAATTGTAAGCTGCAAAGGGCTTCAATTTAAACGAAGAATGCAGCAGCTATCTGCAATAATGTTCAAAGACTATGGAATATGGTATAATTTATTTAAAGAAATAGTTACTTGTGTAGCAGAGGGACATGCATTGTGTGGCACAGGCATATAAAAAATGATCTAAGGACAGATTATAAGATAACATACCTCTTGAAGCCACATCATCTATGTATTTCTCCAAGAACACCCGAGCCTCCTTTTCATCATCCACATTAGTTTCATCAAACTCCATAGCCAGCCGGAACATTCTAGGGTCTATGTTGTTGTACTGAGGAACACATGTCCAGTTAGGTTAGGGTGAGTTCGCAAGAGATCCAACAAAGTAATTCCCTTCACTCGCACACTGGCCAATCCTTTCCTTATATCTTCCAGAGCTGGAATGCGCTTCATGATGACCTCGTACTGGAGAAAGCATTCATAAGCCAGAGACCTGTTGTCAGCAGTGATTTCCAAATAAGGAAATCCAGATGCATAAAGGATATCTGAAAAGCTCTCTCTTGTATCTGGACTTGTGAAAGAGGCTAGATCCTTTTCATCACATGTAATAAGCTTTAAAGATTGAAGAAGAAATAAACACATTTTAAAGGAGGACACTTAAAGCAACATTTCAGCTGACACTGAATATCTTGCAACAATGGGTTTTTATTAGGAAATCTTATAAATAATAAAGTTTTGTTGAGCTTGCTTCTGGTCAGTAATGGGGAGTAAAGAGAAATGCCAAGCATGGTCTACACTGTACACTGTATGTATGAAAGTAATAAGCTGGTTAAATAACAAAATTAATGAATTACATTGTTAGAATACATGCAAGCTCTTGGCAAAAATAGGTTAATAAATATCAATACTTGACACACAGGTTGTTTACTTGTTAGTGTTACCAAAAAATCTGGAAATTTGGGCTGGAATGTAAATGGAAGTCTAGTTTGGTCTTCCCAAATGGAAAATTTCTTGAGAAAATGGTTTTTCTGGAAAGGTAGTCCAAAATACCCAAATGGCATTTTGCATCTCATTTGCTCATTTTCCAGGCCTATCAGCTTGAATCGCACAGTAAGCCCGACCTTTGGGAATGTTTGTGGAAATGGAAATTGTGTGTCACATGGAAATTTCCCTGGGGTTTTTGGTGCATCCCATTTACTGCAAACATCAACTAACCACAAACCTGTTTTAGTTGTTCTCTCATACAGGGATCAGGGATGTCCTCCAATGCGATGTCTTCAACAGATGAATCCCGTTTGCCAGTGGCAATGTATTTCACAATGGCAGGAGAAATGCCTGATATTCCACAACAATTGTTGAGCACTGCATGCAGAATCATCTTCCCCATGATTATGAACATGCCACTTGACAACAGCTCATAATCATGTTTGGGTACAAGATGACCCAAAGCACCTTCCAAGAGTGTGATTCCATCTGGTGAACATTGTTTCATACTTTCCACAAGAAAGTAAAAGTACTCCCTTGTGATTCCACCAGCATCTAAACCTTGCTCACCAGCCCCATGAAATTGTACATTGAGAGGCTTTGTTACATCAAATGCTGGGTTTTTGTATTTTCTTATCATCTGTGTCAGCATGTTATGATCCCGGTTCACCTGCACATCAACCTCTATTCCAAAAGGTGAAACTGCACTTTGAATGAACTTTCTTAGGGCATCATCTTCATTTGTTATCATGCCTATGGCTGCAAGAGGTGTGTCTTCTATTTCATCAATTGCATCATCACCTATTGTAAATTTGAACAAGTTACTTATGAATACTAATGACATTAATGGTGAAGTATACTAAAGAAGGTTGAAAGGACTTAACAATCATTATGTACTTTGTGGCAGTAAAAAAAAATTATATGATTCCACAATCTGTTGTGGAATTAGAGATAACTGATGTCTGGACCAAACATGAATCATGTTGGCTAAAGTACTGAACTGAGATTTTCCTTTCCATACCATGCACAGATGATGGGGTTTCCTCATCTCCCAAAATTTTAGCAACAGCATGAGAAACTGTACCACAGTCTTCAAGAACTTGCTTGAGATATGTGATGTCATTTGCAGGAAACATTTGTGTTAACTGGTGAAGATCAGAAGAAGTTGTTTGGGATGGGCATAGGGTTGACCCTTCATTACTGGCACTAGATGAGGACCCTGTAAGTATAAAGGATATAATTCAAGAATCAACAGTTACCTACAAAGTACTCTCATAACAGATCTTAAATTTGTGGCTGTTTCTATCCAGCATCATATTGCAAATTGGCCTCAAAATGCAACTCTCTTTACATTTGCTCTGACTGTTCTCAGCTCAGGAGCATGGGTAGATACTTATTTTTTTGCCTGAAGGCTACAGTTAGCCAATAACCTTTCCAGTCTAGTAATCAATGTAAAATATTAGATATCACATTCCAATTAAGATATCACTCTATAGCAGTTTTATGCAAAGATTGGTGTGTTAACTCCAAACAACTGCAACAATAATTAAAGGTACAGCTGTATTTGTTAAAATCACCTGTGCTAGATGAAGTGCTTGGAGCACTGGATGTGAACTCCCTTTTACAAAATAAAGTGTTTGGAGGTTCATCAGCTGAATCATCATCACTGGCCTATAGCAAAATAATTGATGAATTAAAAAATTGAAGGACTGTTTTTAAGGGAAATTTTGTGGAAAGTAGAATGTAAAAATATGAAACAAGATGAAACAAACAAAATTAAAACTGAATTAAGACCAACCAGCCACCTGGTAACTGCACAAACACAGTTAATGCACTGTCTACAGCTAATGGGTCACCAAGGAAACCTCTCACATGATGAATGCCAATTGCCTTTTGCAGAAGTAAACAAAGCCTTCTTACTTTGCAAGTTGAAAATTACCAGTACATAAAGAGTAAGAGGACATACAATCCTCATCATTTGGTTACAGACACTAAGCACTTTTTCCACCAAACTACTTTACATTTATTCCCCCTACATCATAGAAACCATAACTAGGATTATATTTTCAAACAGATGCTCATTAAACCAGTCATATGCCCCTAAAGCAACCAGGCATAATTATATAATAATATTATTACATGTATGTCCTAGCATATAGCATCTTATCCCAACATTGCTCAAGCACCCCACTGAAACAGTGTGTGTTATGATTTCTTGCCTGTTTCACAAGATCTGCTGGAAAACAAATCATGTCTCCTAGTAAGCTAAACACTCACAAACCTCAACTTCAACCACAGACTCAGCAACCACAGGCTCATCAACCACGGGCTCAGCAATACAAATGCATTTCTTAAGGTGTTCCCTTAAGGTCCTTAAAGGCACTGCTATGCCACACTGATAGCATTCTTGGGTCTGAATGTTGACATCATCAACCTTCAAAAAAGAGAGAAGGACTTTTAATCAATGTTTTCTGTACCACCAAAATCTGGAAATGTTTTAGGCGCCTTCACAACTCATGAATAACCATTTCTGCTGTGAAACAGCAACTTTTCACAAGCTGTCAACAATACACACAACACATACCTCCTCTTCATCCAAAACCACTGGATCCATGGAAAGGCTTCTTTGGATTGGAAGCACATAAAGTATGGCAGACTTAATCCCATATGTGTACTTTAAAAATGGAATGGTGTAACCAGATGCTGGTGGTTTGATATAGCATAAGCTTTTCCCTTCTTGCTGCCTGTAGAGCTCAAACCCACCAGCCTCTCGCAGCTTTGGAAAATTGCTGAAAAGGCCTTCCTGAATGTGCTTAAAATCACCTTTCTTATTTTTAAACACAATCCGTCTTTGACCAAGACCAGCTTCCCGTAGCTCTTGTTTCATTGCAGTTGATGGAACTTGACGTTGATCTTTATCAGCTACAACGCAGAATTCGTGTGTCCAGGTTTCTTTGAGTTTGTAAGGCTGGAAGCGGAAGGAAGATTTCTTACTACTGGAACTTGGGACTGAGGCTGGGCTTGGCCACCATGATGACAAACTGCGGTTAGCCGAGGTTGTGGGTCCTGAAGCTGTTTGGCCTGATGCAGACTGACCTGCTGCCTGAGTCCTCGAGGGGCCTGGATATATACGCCTTGGAAAAATAGAGGTTACACCCTAATAAACTTAATACATGCACTTATTTAGAATGTCTAGCTATCTATTTATCTGCCTACCAATCTGTTTATAGAGCAGCTACTTGTTTTAGGTCAAAATGATGTTAACCTGTGTCAAAATGAAATTCCTTTGTCCCCTAATCCTAATTATTCATGAAATCATGAATAACTGGGTTGGGAGACAAAGGAATTTTATTTCGACCTGAATCTCAGTTGAGCTACAACACATACCAGGGGCACCCAACGACAATTTTCGGAAAAATATCTGTTCGGAAGACGATTTGAGATCTACAATTTTCGGAACATTTGTTGTATAATTTCTTGCTTGCCTGCCTCTCCTAGGATTTTCGAACATCTAAAAAATGGTATAATTGCCTATTTTTAACGGATTTTCACCCTAAAAAGGTCACCTAGAATTTTCGGGAGCCTTTTTTCTGGCTGAAATTTTCGAAAAGGCGAGTTTTGATCCCTATAATTTTCGGATCACTAGACTTTCAGCTAGGAAATCCGAACAGATGAAAAATTTTTAGGGGATAAAAATATGTCTTTATCTACTGTTTAAATACTAAAATACGTTTAACAATGCTATGTTTAAGTGGTTTTGAACTATATTCTCGTTGGGTGCCCCTGACATACATGCATATATCCACTAAAATCTAGTTTATATTTTACACTATGAAAAAACAAAAGCGTCATGCAAAAAACAGTCCTGCCCGATGTGTAGCACAAAAGAATTCAAATGGAAACTTTGCACATTTTTTAAAATCAAATTTAGTGAAAAGATACATCGCCATATTGTTCATTCATGATTGCCACTCACTGGGAAAGGAAAAAAATCCCGGGCATTTCCTTCAAGACATTTCAGAGTACTGTTTAGACTATACTCATAAGTTATAAAATATTCATCAATTAAAAGAAATATCTGAAATATGGAAATAAGCATTCATGATTTGTAAATGGAGATCCATAGGATAATGAAACATATTATGACAATTTAAGCTTACAAACCTAACCTGTAATTTGCAAGAGCACGTTGGCCTTGGAGTTCTTCCAAAGGTGCTGATACGTTTCTTTCCAAAGGCGATTCTTTTAGTAAGCTAACGCTTCTTTCTAGAAGGTCCACCGCCTGCGAAAAAGCAGATTCTGCAAACCTACCGGCTGTCATTTGCGATCCTCGCGCTTGATCACGGTCACGATTATCCTCCTTGTCAGCCATGACACACAGAAGACACTCCGGGTCTGACTAACCGCGAACGACAGCGCCCAAATTCCCGCGAACATCATTTTGAGGCTGACCGTTAGTTACCAGGTTCCTAGGCAAATTATCGTGTTATTTTTGTCGCCTCGCCGCGTCGGTGGCTCGCACAGTTCGTCGAACAGTGACGAAGGTGAAGAGGTTCTGGCGTTTTGTTGAGAAATATGTCCGAAACATTATGTTTGGAAAGCGGACTATCGTCTTGTCATGCAAACGTCAAGCGAGCTTATGTTTGAAAGACGGAGTATCGTGTTGTTGTGCCGCAATATCGTGTCGAGTAGACGGAGTATCGTGTTGTTATGCCGCAATATTGCGTCCAGTAGACGGAGTATCGTGTTTCCAAGCTGTAATATTTAATTGTGCGGCCAAACCATCGTATCTTGTAAACAGAGTAACGTATTAAGAATATCGACCATCATATCATCTAGTTGTACTTTTATTTTTGGCGTTGATACCGCTCCATATCTAGCAGCGTGTCAAGGTCTTGCAACCATGAAGTCACGTTTCGCCATCTTCTGCATCTTTAGCAACCTTTCAAACCACGAGTTCACATCTTCGAGCAGCGTTTCAGGGTGAGTATTTTGCAGTTCAGTGATTTATTTGAATTCAAAAGCATTCAACAGCACTGAATAGAATCGCATTTCAACCATCGCGTTTTGCCATCTTCTTACAGTGTGTCAAGGTCTTGCAACCACGAGTTCACACCTTTCGCCATCTTTAGCAGCCTTTCAAACCACGAGTTCACATCTTCGAGCAGCGTTTCAGGGTAAGTATTTTGCAGTTCAATGATTTATTTGAATTCAAAAGTATTCAACAGCACTGAATAGAATTATTCGGTACAAAATTTGCAACGGGGTCGACAGACTCGATCCAACAGATCAGAAAGATAAACGACAGACTCGATCCAACAGATCAGAAAGATAATGTCAGACTCAGAGTTGCATTGATATTGTCAGAAAGAGATACGAAGTTTGTTATATCAATTTCCATTTGAATATGTCACTCTCGAAGATAAACAAGTCGGTGGTTACAGTTCGAAGAGGGCACTTTATGAATTCTGTTTTTGTCAACCCTGGTATT